TACTGATCTCCTTCTGAGACGTAACAATAGTACATTTTTTCTTACTTTAAGCTGGACTCTCAAATTATTTTCATTAAAAGAAAAAAAATTATTTGAAACAATATATTGTCATATAAATTGTCCGCAGCTTCCAGTTAAGTTGAAAAATAACTTCAATTAGCGCTTGTTTTTTATTCATAAAGCAGTTTATGCTTTTTTTCTGTGTGTAAAAAATTTTTCCGTTACAAAGGTTTATCCTGAAAATCAAAAAGAAGCATTAAGTTTTTTATTCTTACCATTAATGAAAAGACAAATGCAATTCTTTTAAGTGGAAAAAGTGTGTGTTGTAAGGGTTTATAAAAGGCGAATATAATTATATGTTGGATGCCCTGGTGTTTGAATGAAACTGGCTGCAGCGTCGGTTTCGTAATTACTTTATTTCCATATTCCAGCGCGAAAAAAAGCGAGCTTGAAAAGGCTCTCGGTGGTGCTACTTTCGCACTACTGAGCCCCATTTGTGGAGATGATGGAAGAAGAAGGGATACACAAAGAGAAAAGAGCGGCAAAAACAGAGATATGAGAGAAGCGATGAGGAAGCATGTATAAAAGAGCGAGTAGAATATATAAAAGAAGGTAAAAAGATTACATATCGCAAACAAGCTCGACTTTGAGTATTTTTCCTGGAAAAAAAGGAAATAGTGTAATTACCCTCGTTCAAACGAATGAAATAGACTCTTTCGTTCGGAAAAAGATATAATCAGCATTATATTTCTAATTTTAAAGAGGTGGGTTATTATATTTTCCAGTTTTTTATATATGTTGTATGATTGCAAATTTTTTTAGAGTAAAAACAGTAAAACAGACATTAGCGTTTTTTATAGACAGTTAATTTCTTTAACGTCGTTTCAGGTACAATAACTAAAATTGAAAGAATTAATTTATTACTTTATTTATAAAAAACAATTTCCAACACAAACTCGGACGCCTTATTATTGCATATTCCAAAGGTTCAGATGACAACAGATACGTAGTACGCACCTGAAATATTAGAATAATAGCACGCTCTTTCTAAAAGTATAAAAAAGGAAAATGAGAATATGGAAATAGATATGCAGACAGAAAACACATTCAATAGTTGGAGACGAATACAGATGTACAGAAAAGTGTGGAAATATATTCACAGGCAGAAGAAAATGATCAATTAATAATTAAAAATTAATTAAAAAAAGTAACCAACTGACTTGAAATTATAATATTATTAGTTGCTTTAATTTTCAAATAATAAAAATAAAAAGCTGGACTAAAATCCCCTGAAATGTTTTAATTAATTTTTGAAATTTCCTTAAATGTTTCACATGCATTTTCTTTTTATGAGTAACATTTATTGTTTTCCTATTTGATTTAAAACTTCTGCAATATTTACATTTGACTAGACTCAATCACTTTTATTTTTAACGAAAAAAGTTGCGAAATGATCGTGCATCACCGCGTGGAATTTCATTAAACTTTCATGACCTTTCTCTCCTCGTTCGATCGATGATAAATAGTCTGGCAAAAAGTTTGTTGGGGAATTTGTAACGTTGAAATCATCTTTTATTAATGCAGAAATCAGAGGCAAACATTTTTAATAAATCATACTGACACCCCAAAAAATGTTAAAAAATTATGCTAGAGGTTACTTAACTTTTATCACATTGTCTGTTGCCTGTGAACAATAAATCTAATAGTTGAATATAAAAATTTAAAATTGTATTTTATGTACCAGTGATCCTATATTATATTTCAATTTTTTTAACTATTGCCTAAAAATTACTGCATAGTGATATTTTTTAATATTTGCAATTAATTATTATGTCTTAGGAATGAAACTAAACATAATCATAATTTATATATTTAATTTGTCCGGCATCGGTGAATCATACCTGATTTATTCACAGAGTCGAACACTCTGATTTCAAGGGACAGGTTTTAAGAAAGAGTAAGTGTTTAATTAAAGTCAAATTACTAAAGTTTTTATTTGAATCCTTTACAATTAGAGTGAGAGAGAAATAATAGATCCAAATGTCATGTCTTCAGGGATACTGAAACAAATACGGACTTTGTAGAATCAATCGAGAATTTAGATGGGGACTAATTTTAAAAATATTAGTTACTTACTTTTAATATTATTATTAGAGTCGTAGACCACATAGGTGATACCTCGTACAGTGTGAAGTCAAAGAAGTGACATTGTCTAGCGTAGACAGAGAAGGCAATAGATTTTTCTTGAAATGTTTTCGGGTCAGCAAAAGTGAAAGGTCTGGAGTCCAGGTGTCAAATTATTGATTTGACGTTAAAGTCGAAATAATGCAGTCCTCGGAAAAATAGAAATGTGTCTCGCAGCAGAAATTATCTCGTTCAATGAACTTGACTTAGACGAGACTTAAAGAATACACTTGGTACTTGAAGAGACTTTTGGAACTGGACAAGAAGAATAAACTCGACGACAATATACAACTTATTAACTTGGTCGCGGTTTCTCGACTGATACGAAGAACGCGAGATTCTGATTTGAGGGTGACTTCTGGACTTGGTGGCGATTCCTGGACTGGCGAATTCGGCAAGGGTGCCTCCTTTTATACTATTCCCTTGCAAAGGGAATTGACGTCACACAAGGGGTAGTAAAAATTTTACGATCGTACACGATCATTATGGTAATCGCATAAGCTGACTTTTGATTCGTGCGAACATTTGGATCAATATGGTCTTAGATTTCAAAGGAACAAAGGATTCAGTTATTCTTAACGTTTACAAAATATTTTTAATATAATATAAATGCGTCGCGATGACGTAACATAATTTTGGTTTAACTTTAAAGAAATAATTATAGAAGTTTCTTGGGGAATATCATTAGAAAAGGATGTTATGTTTTAAACTTTTAGTATTAGATTTTTTATAAATTATTTATTAATTATACTTTATTACCCTTTGAAAATTTGCTACTCATTTAAAGAAATTAATCTTTTAATTATAAATATATATTTATTACTTTTGTAATATTAGTTTGCACGAAAAAAATGTCTTAACACCCCATTACAGTTAGGTAGTTAGTGAAAAGACGCTACTATAAAACATTGTATTTTACGAAATGAACGAAATTATTTTTCTTGTCATAAAAGTGAATTTTCTTTTCGATCCTGTCCGATTTTCAGAACACGTTGAATCTTTTGGAAAAAATAAGTTGAATGCTCGGCAGACTATCACTGCAAGAATTTGTAAATTTTCACTAGACTCGTGAATTAATTTAAATAAAAAATATATGAATTTTTGCTAAGAATGAGTGCAAAAATTTAAAATGAAAATTTGAAGGAGTTTTCTTTATATCCTTTTTTACTTTCACGTAGCATCTCCTGTTATTTCTTTTTTTTCTACATATTTTTAGCGTTGAGAAATGAGATCTTCTGAGCTTCCAAATAGACTTTAGCTTAGGAATTCACGACTCGACTACTTTAGAGTACCCGAGTGGTCCAACAGGAGACCTCTTCCATGTTCTGAGGTGTCTAGCAACCCTTCGGAGAAAGAGGGGATGCTCACCCCTTTTATTACGTCGAGTGACATCCAGGCTAATATCCTTCCACTTCCTGTCACTCTACTCTCGCGTGTCTATCCCTGTGTATTTCTCTTCCATACTCTTGTCTGAATCTTTCTCCACTTTTTTTTATTCTTTTTCTCTACTCTTTTTTTTATTTGGACGTTCGTGAAACAGCGCACGTTGAAGCACCCCTTGGAGGATATTTCTCGACTGAGCTGTGGAAAAACCACGTCCTTGATCCTAGTTGAGGGAAACATTATCACCAGAGCGGTATTTGCTTTACTTTCTTTTTTCTTTTTCCAATCTCAAGGATCACAGTTGGCCTTTTTTGTAGAATTTGCCGACAGAGGATACTTTATCCGAAAAAATATCAACTTATTCAATTATAAAGCTGAACTTTTTCTTAGACTGTGTACCAGAAAAGTATTTTTATGACTTCTAGACAAAAGACATTACTTGATGAAATGGAAACTGTTTAACGTTATACTCGTTACAATTTAATAACAAAATTTACATCTTTCCCTTTTGCCGAACTGGCGAGAAATAACCATGTTATCTTATTGGGTTAATTGTTATTGAAAATTAGATTATTTTATTAATATTAATTAGAAATTTATATTAATTTAATTATATAGCTCCTAGTAGGGTCACTCGGACGTGACACCTTATTTACAACAAAATGAATTGTTTAATTACTAATATTTTATTATATTTAGGAATAAGGAAGCTTTTCGAGATTTTGCAAATCGGGAGAAGAAGAAAAATCTCAATAGGTTAACTTGTTTCGAGCTAACTGGGATAAAGTGCAATGGGTTTTGACCTAGTGCCAACTATCTCATTGGATAACTCTGTGTTAGGCGCAATTTAGATTAGTTTAAATTAGATTGTATATTTTATTGATCCCGTCCCCTATTAAGTCCATTCTTTCGATATAACAGAAGTTAAAAATTGAATTTTCAACTAAAAATAGAAACTACAATAAAAAAGTTATATCAATTTTATGATTGTCAATTTGACAAAGTTCAATACATTTAATAACAGAAGTTAAATTTTGAGAAATTGGCATCCTAGGGTGTGAAATGTGGTCAGATGCGGTTTTGTGGAGACAATTTTGTTCGAACATCTAACACGATCGATCTGTGATGCGTTTAGTGCTCGTTTAATGGCATCGTTCAGCAAACCACGTACTCGCTGTGAATTGGTAGCTGAACTTTCGCGATATTCGTGCTTCCTCAATACCAAAGGGAATTTCGAATTTGGTCTAAAGTTACGCTATAGTGACATGCGGAGACAATCACTTGAAACCGTACTACTCCGATAATTCCGTACATAAAGTTTTACCATACAGAGAAAATCATGTACAAAAAAAAGTTTTGCAAAATGACAAATAACTTTATAACATATATATATATATATTTAGAAGGAGAGAAAATTAATTTTAAATTCATAATAAATTTAACAATTTAATATCTAAAATAATTTAAATTAAATTACACCGTAACTTAATATGTATACTAAAATTTTATATTATGTTAATTAGATAAATCGTCGCTAGTCAGATCACTTAAAATTTTTCTTGTTGCTGCAGGATTGTCAACTGCAATCTGTAAAAAAATACTATTAGAAAACAAATATTTTTAGCTATATTTATTAATGTAATTTTCGTACCAAGTGTCCCGCTCTGTTGACCGAGTACATTCTAAAGTTACCACACGTCTTTACATATCCTTCATTTGTTTTGTTTACTATCAATTGTGAACTCTTGATTTTTAACCATTCAGATGAATTTGCCCATTTTAGATTTTCAATCCAACGTTCAGTACCTAAATTCATAAGCAAATGAAACATATAGAAAAACTTTTACAATTAATGAATTGCATCTTCATGTACAATACGAGAATTAGAAAATTTAAACGAAAAATATGTTACCTTTACTGTTGACTAATAAATCCAATTTTCCACTAAGAACAAATACTTTAAAATTTGATTGTCTCAGAAGATACTCAACTGTGAAACGTAAAATTGAAAAGATTAGAAAATATGTAACTATTTTAATTATACTTCCCGCCTCGTTCTCAGGATTACAATATGTAATATCGTTTCTACTCACTCGCACCTAGTACTATTAGTTTATTTACTCTTTCTACAATAGGTAGGGTTCGATACTCCCAAATACGTACATAATAATCTTAATCTGTATTTACAAAAATCCTTACAACTAAACATTCTCTTCGTACAACTTAACCTAAACGCAACTCAACCTACTCGCAACTCTCTCCACGCTCTCAACCTTGCAATTCGCTAGTGCCGGGCTTCCGTTTCCAGTTCCTTCTATGCCCATGCTGGCTTTGACCCAATTCGCCTACCCTTTTTCAAAAACCTTCTACTTCTTTTTCACCTCTCTTCCTTCTCCAGTCATCCACTTTTACCCATCCATCCATCCAAGCAAAATCTTCTCACCTCATTCTCAGCCTATTCCTGTCTATCACACTTTACACGCTTCCATCACTCCACCCGTATCCTCCCTCACAACATACTTTACCCCATCCATCCAAATACAATCTTTACCCATTCTTACCTGTTTCCCATTCACTCTCTCCGTCCACGCTCTTTCTCTCAATAGCCATAACATTCTTCTCTCTCTCCAACATCTATCCTCATCTATTCTTATTACACTTCCTTTCAGTCTTCCTTTCACCCTCATCACCTCCATTTTCTCTTCCTCACTACCCAACTCCACCAACCATAACTTTGGTACCCCATATTCACCCCTTCCTAATGCTTGTACCATTTTAACTGAGACATTAACCCTCACCCACTCCAACACTTTTTCTACTGCTTTTTTACCCTTCAACACACCTACATTCATACCTCTGATCACTACATTCTTTTTCCTTTTTTCATTTTCTACTACATCCACTCGCCTTGACAAATCTCTCATTTTCCACTTTAACCTCTCATATTCACTTCCCTAAACTTTCTCAGTCCCCTCATTCACTTCCTTTATAAATTTTTCCAATCCATTCATTCTTCTCCACATGCTTTCCTTTTTCCTCTTACTATCCCATTCATTCCACATTTCCTGCAATTTCTCCAACTCCTCTTCAATTTCCCCTATTTCTGTGTCCCTTGTTTCCCCATCCTCACAGATATCCATCAAATTTCCCTTCACTCTCTTAGCTCCTTCATCCATCGCATCCTTCAACATCCGTACTAATTCCAACAAATCCATGCAATCCTCACACGTCATCTTTTTCCATTCTTTCCTATCCCCCTTTCAAATACTCGCACCTTTTCCTCATTCACGCTAACACTACTTGAGTCAAACTCAGCCATTCCAGAAATCTACCTTATCACTCCAATGCTCAAAATTTTTCCACTGTCTCTCTCTCCTCTCTCTCACTTCAAGCAACCTAACCTCACCAAACACAATTCTCTTTTTTACCTTTTTTATCACTCGTACATTCACTACTCTATACAAACATAGCTTTTCTTTACACTACCGGCAATTACACTACACACTCAACACTCTACACTACCCACCCTTTTTTAAAACCTTTAAATTTCTCAAAAAAATCTTAACTCTTTCCAAACGCGTGTACACCGAAACGGTACCGGAAACGGAAGCCACTCGCACCTAGGACTAATCCCACCGCCACAATTCAGAGCCAAAGCAAAAAGGGAATGTTCCTCTCGTCCCTATATCGGTCCTTCGCCATCCTGGTCATTCGTTTTTTTGTGCTTCGCGTCGTCACATCAAATTTTCACAAAAATGGGAAAATCTAGTAAATGCCGTTCAAAAAATCAAGGAAAAATGATTATAAGCGATTAGAAAGGGAAGTGGAACGTCTGAGAAGGAGAGTTAATTGACGAAAACATACATCTTCGTCATCGGACTCAGATGATTCGGGTAGCTGTTTGTCTGCAAAATTGAGAAGAGTGTAATGCAGTTCGAAGCATTCTTCTCGTTCTGAATCGGGGCGTCACATACACAATCGACTACCTTTCTCTGTAAATCAGATAGGACAGTTTAAGTTTATTCGAGAAATCTATACAGACGCTTCAAAAACAGGTTAGGGAGCGTCGTACCAATCTGAAAAGATTCACTGGTTTTGGAATGAAAAAGAAAAACATATTAATTACTTAGAAGTATTAGCCATATAACAACGCTAAATGTCGTGAATTTTGTTCCTGTGAAAGCCCACGTTACGCTAAAGCAATGGACGCTTTTACTATATCTTGGTCCAATAAATTATTTTACGCTTTCCCCCTTTCTCGATGATCTTACGAACGATAAAAAAGATAAAAACTGATCAAGTACGAGGTATTATTATAGTTCCTATGTGGACCTCATAGCCATGGTTTTCCGTGTTTCGATTACTATTCGATAAAAATCGAAAACTTTGTAAAAACATCTAGACCTGGTGCGTGCCAACCATGCTTAGTTCTCCCTTTTTTCACTGAAAAACCTGAACAAAGTCTTTAAAGGCGGTTCCAGAATAGGTGCAAAAGGCAAGGTTGAAGTACAAGTGCAAGTGCGATTCCTATACATTTAGCATTGGTTCGCACTTGCACTTGTACTTCCACCTTGCTTTTTGCACCTATTCTAGAACCGCCTTAAGAGGAGAATAAAAATGGATATTTATTAGTTTTCAAAAACCACAAAAAGCAGTAGGGACACAAACGATAAGTCGTTGGATAAAAGAGGGTACTTCATTTATGTGGCGTTGCTAGAAACTTCAAAGCTCATATAGTACCCAACACGGGCCCACCTCGAAAGCTTTCGAGAAAGGTCTACATATAAGAGTAATTCAAAATACTTTAGGTTGGTCACAAAACACATCGACGTTTGCTAAATTCTATAACAGACCAATTAAAAAATCTGAAAGATCCTTTAATGTTGTAATTAACAACTAATTTACTAAGTTTCTTTAATGTTGTAATCAATAACTAATTTACTTAATGGAGGCATCTGTTTATAAAAAATAAATAACAATAATTTCAGAAAAATTATCGTCTCTAAAAATCTACATATTGTAATCCCGAGAACGAGGCGGAAAGTATAAGTATACGATTAAACGAACTTACCTATGTGAAGTTCAATCGTAATTATATGACCGCCTCGTTCGAAGGGATTACTCATCCTCCCGTTAAAATTTTGTAATTTTTTTTTCTTTTCACCCACCCTAAAATAAAAGGACAATTTTCTAAATATAAGCTTTAAAAAGAATGACCAAGATGGCGATAGACCGATAGAGGGACGAGAGGAACAGGCGGTCGTATAATTACGATTGAACTTCACATATGTACATACGTAAGTTCGTTTAATCGTATAATAATATTAAATATCAAAATAGGTTTTAAATTTTCAAGACTGAATTTGGTACCTTCTTTTATAGCAGGTCTCATCAATTGTGAAATAAGAAATTCATAAACTCGATAGTCATCCACATTAAAATGTATATTTTCAGATATATTGAGCGCTGACTTTACTTGCGTTTCCATTAAGCTATGCAATTGGCTTTCATCTGAAAATATAATTTAAATCAATTCTAATATCCGTCCACTTGTCTTTGTAATTTAGAAAAATCAGCTAAAATTTTCAATTTTATATTAGGGGCCATCCATAAACTACACTGTAAAAAATTTAGGGAGTTAACGGACTCGGGAGTTGGGAGTTAAATTTTTCGAGTTAAAAATCAACTCCAAAAGAGAGTTAATTTCTAACTCCCTTCATTCAACACCCGCGCGAGTAATTTTTTCCATGGGGAGTTAGCATTTGGGTGTTATATTTTAACTCTCTTTATTTAACTCCCCTGGCATTAACTCTCCAATGGGTGCGACTTTTATAGACTCCCCTGGGGAGTTAAAATTTAACTCCCTTTTTTTACAGTGTACGTTACCAATTTAGAGGGGAGTGGATCAAAAACGTAGTTTATGGACGGTCCCTTATCTAATATAGCCTAAATAATAATTAAAAATTTTAATTTTTATAGGTGTCATTACCTTCAACATATGGACTGAAATTTCTGTGCTCTACTTTAGATAATATGTTGTAGAAGTTAACATTTTTTATAATATTCTTAATGTTACTAATAGTAGAGTGCGTATGATTGTTAGCACCATTCCAATCTTTAATGTGTGTACTTAAGTATGCTTGATATGCTGAACCTCTGATAACATTGTAATCGTCATTATCAATTAATCTCTAAAAAATATTCCTTAATAAATTATTACCTTTGAAAATATAATAAGCTATTCTACTTCGGTTGTAAATCTACTTTTAATAATTAATAATATTAGAAAACAAGAATAAAAATATTTTACATTTTCGAATAAATATGGTGCCCATGATAAAACAGAATGAACTGGTGAAATCCAAGCACTTGAAATTCCTATTCCCTTAAAATTACTTATATTCCATCCACTTTTTATTTTCTGGAAAATTAGAATAATGATAAGATTATTATACATTTTCATAAATATGTTTTGTTGAGATTGGAAGGATAAAGTATGAACTAGAAAAAGGAATCTCTAAATAATCATAACATTTTTTACTACACTATAGAGTTTTCCCACCTCATTTTATGTAAATATTTTTTGTCCATCCAGAAAGTAAGTTATACATTAATTTTTTCTCGTAAATGTTAACAATCTATAGTATAGACTAAAAAAAATGCGAATATTTCTTTTCTTTCTACTGTGAACGTTGAATAATTAAGATGGAGAAACTCTTGTGGAGGACATTCACATATACCTAATGGAATTATGCAATACAATTTATAATAATAAACTCTTTACCTGCAGCCATTTAGAAGCAAGAAGTACAGCAATTTTGCCTCCATAACATTGACCAACAACATAAGTTGATACATTAGAGAAAGAAGGGAATTCCTTCAAGAATTTCTCGATGGAAATAAGAAGATCATTTGCAATTTGTTGATCAGATCTAGCATGCTGATCATCAGAATCTGTATAACTAAATCCAGTTCCCACTGGATTATCGATAAATAATATGTTGTAATCTTTTACCTGTTACGAAATTATTTTTATCAGTGAAGACTTTAATAATACTTTCAGTAAACATGAATTTGATTCAACCAAAGAATCAAAAAAACCATTAATTATCATTTTTAAAATAATTCTTACCAATGAGTTGGATCTATTTGTCAGATCCAAATTCAAAGGACCAATTTCCTTAAAATTTGTATAACCGGTTGATGATACTCCAGGACCTCCCTCTAACCAAATAATTAAGGGTTTTTCAGTATATAACGAAACATTAGCAGTGGTGTAATGAAGCCAATAAAAAATATGTGCGCCTGGTCTGACAGTCACGAAACCCCATTCTTGTTCACCCCGAAAACCATATTTACCTAAATAAAATTAATCAATTGTTTATTAATTAAAAGGAAACTTATTACTTTACTTTCTTTTAATTCAAAATTTGCTTACCATAACTTATTTGACAAAATCCTAGAAATAAAAAGAAAATTGTACTTCTGAAACACATGATGTCAATATTAAATTGTAACTTTTTTCTAAATTAATGACAAGAGATTTGATTTCCCAAAGCATATTTATACAATTCACTAAAAACATAAAAAAGCATTCCTCTATAAATTCTAATTTAATGTTTGTTCAGGTGAATTTAAAAGATCTTTTTTCATTTATGTGGAGGAATCAATATTGAACTGAAATTTGTAGATTCTTTTATTCATAGTCTTTTGTTAAGAGAAAAATAGACACATTTTGTATAGTATGTAAATTACTTAATTCGATAAATTATTGTGAATGATATTCCATTCAAATTCATTTTAGTAAAAGTATAACAATAGCAAGAATTTATTCAAAATGATGTTAAGTAAAATCTATAATTTAAATTTTTATGATAAAGTAGATAATTTATTTGCCTTGGAGTAAAAGTTTTAAATATCTGATAAAAAAACAAAAAAATATTTAAATATTAAACTTTCTACATAATAGGATGTACGGCCCTGACAACTATGTACACGTGCTTTGCTCAGTCGCTGTATTTTTCTATTTTTACATTGATTTATTGAATTGTTTTTTTTACTAAAAGTGATATTGTTGATTGTAAAAAAAGTTTACTTTTTGAATTTGAAATAAATCCAATGATCATTTGTCGATGTAAACTATAATATAAGACGTAGATTTGCTCCACGGATAAACGAGGAATGACCACTCTTTTTAGGCTCATGAACTACAACTGCTACTATATTTCAACTACTACCCAAATAACTATTGCTGTTAATGACGACTTAAAACAAATATGATGGAAACAAGTTTTTTTAATGATATTTCTCCGGATGATTAAAAGGATACAACTGTTTCTTTCTATAATATTCTCTGTCCTTTTGTAAATAACTGTTAACTGTTAACTGTTTTGTTAACTGTTTTGTATATAACTGTTCTCTCCAGACTGGGTTTTTCGTGATATTTGGAAGATGAGCAATGTTAGGCCTGTTCCCAAGATATCTAATCCAAGAAAACCATCTGATCTTAGACCGATTTCAATAAATTTGTGCCCTGTCTAAACCATTAGAACGCCTCGTGTGTAAACAAATATCATTGTATTTAAATAAACATAAATTATTTAAATCACTGCAATCTGGTTTCCCTCAAATGCACAGTATATGTACGGCTACCTTAAAGTTTACATCTGTTATTAAACTTGCTATGGATGCTAAATACATTACTATTGCGATTTTTTTTACTTTTCAAAGGCTTTTCCCTCTGTAGACTACCAACTACTGATTAATAAGCTTGCTTCATTCAATATATCTAACTCTGTATGTCGTTGGTTTGTGTCTTACCTCACGTTTAAATCACAAAGAGTTACTGACGGTAGTGGCAACATCTCGAACTGGGAGGAAATCAAGTGTGGTTTTCCACAGGGTACTTCACTTTCTTCTCTATTATTTAATTTATTTATTTCTGACCTTGGTAGCGATTTTAAATTCTGTAAATTTCATAAATATGCCGAGGATTCTTTCTCTGATATTGCAAACTTGCTTAAAAATATTCAATCTGATATTAGGATTGTTGAACAGTGGGCAGGACAGAATAGCTTGCGTCTTAACCCAGGAGATAATCTTTTCTACAACTAACTTTTCTTTGGATCTCTTATCATCTCTCCCCCCATTACGGTCTTCACAAAGTTCACGAAAAATATGTAACATTCCTCCTATTTTTTCATTGGTTAATAGTCCTACAAATTTTCTAGAGCTAAGGTTCTATACGATGAACTAAAAGACAACGTAACTCTTCCAAAGTCACACATTAACAATAGTTTTGAACTTATTGAAAAATTGAAAAATATCATTGTTCCTGATGATTATATTTTGATCTGACTTGACGTCGCCTCTTTATTAACTAATATACCGCTTATTTAGTAAAACAAAGTGTAGAACGCAGAGCATCCTTAATTAACAACTCTAACATTCCTTTTAACGATATTGTAAAAATTTCAACCTTTGTTTCCAAAAATACATTTTTTGTTTTTGATGGAAAATATTACCAACAAATTGAGGGTATACTCCCATGGGTTCACTTATTTCAGCATTTTTTGACGAGATCGTCATGGATGATCTAGAAAATGATTGCCTCCACAAATTAAACAAAACACCATAACTGTTTACCTTTATTCTATTACAGACTTCTCAATTATCATAAGAAACAATACAATTATCACTAATTAGTAGCAAAAATCTATTTTATCTAGTAGATTATTCAATTACCTTATTTTACATAATTCATGACAACAAAAAGCGAACATTGTCTATAACTTAACAGACCGAGCAATCTTATTGTCACACAATTTATTTCATCATGACAATCTAATAAAAATATAAAAATTCCCTATCAATAATAATTATCCTCTCAACTTTATAAACAATCAGAAAAAAATCTGATTAAATTCTCTCAAATCTCGTACAGGAAACAATAAAAACTCGAATACATTGACGTCTTTGATGTGCTGGGAAAAGTGTTGCCGCTGCCAGACACGACTGACATCATGGATATGTTCGGTAAACCTTGCCGTGGTAGCGGGGCTTTTCAATAAAGGGCATTTAAACAGCAAGAAAGAATGGATTCACAAAATTCAAAGAAAGTACTAAATGTGAGCAGGCCGGAAACGGCAAATCTCACCATCGGTCCCAAGACCGATGCTCAAGTGCGCGCGGATTGTGGGGGCGCACAATTGCTTGCAGTGCCACGGGTGATTGTGGAAAAATTAGATCCACAGAACATCGTGGAAGGAGAAAGAATAAGAAAGGAAAGCGCGTCGAGCCTTCTGAGTGTGTCAAGCTGCAGTAGCGGAAAGACCGTATATATGCTCGCGACTCAGAAAGGAGGAGGCGACTTGCCTTGACAAAATGGAGTTGGAGGTCGCAAAGATGATAAAGTCTTGCGACATTCAGAAGAACGTCAATAGGACGGTAAAAGATGGACTCAGAGCCATCGAAGTCCTGTTGAAAGAGGCAAAAGTAAAGCATGTCGCAGCCGATGAGTCGGACTTCGATTTGGCATGCGTTCTCAGCGGTGCGGAGTGTAACCGTAAGGACCGTAAGGAAAAGAGAGAGCGTTCCTATAGGCATAATCTCAAAAGCGTCATAAGAGATGCTTAGAAACGGAAGCGAGAGGGTGACAGTCCAGAGGAGACGCGAACCCAAACCGATAAGAAGAAAAAGGAGGAAGCTCCTCCAATAGAAACGGAAGTACCAGATCCAAGGATTCCTCACTTGGGAAGACTGGGGTCAAAAAGATCCGCAGTTTTAATCCGAGTCGGTCAAGAATTAAAGTATGCTGACGTTCTGGGTAAACTTTGCAAAGAGGTCAACCCGGACGACTGCCATACGAGAATTGTAGCAGCAAAAGCTACAAAGAAGGGAAACCTTCTGATTAAGATCAGAGGAGGCTCCGACAAGGACGCTTTCCCCGTTGAGGTTACCAAAGCGGTTGGAAGCATGGGTAAGGTGCAGTCGTTGGATCGAAGAGTTACACTCGAGATCCGTGATTTGGATTGTCTTACCCAAGAAGCCGAGGTTCAACAAGTGTTGTCGGAAGCGATAGGAAAGCCAGGAAGCAGGAGAGTGACGGTCTTAGGACCCAACCGCCGAGGGATGAAGCTCGCAGTTGTAGTCACCAACCTGGAAGAGGCGAATAGGCTGGAGAAATTGGGACACGTAAAAATTGGTTTTATGTGTTGCCCAATTAAAAAAAGAGTAATGGTCGTCCGGTGTCATCGATGCTTGGGATACGGTCATATTGGAGCGAAATGCCAGAAAAAAGAGCCCAAGTTGCTTTTTATGCAAGGAAAAGTTTGGCAATAAGGTATCAACCACCCATATTGTAGGCAGCGGAGGATGCGGAGTCTTCAGGACGGCCCTTGAGGAGGCGAAGAATACTCTCGCAAGAACTAAAAGCAAATAAGAAGTATTAAAAAGAGCGAATAATTTATTTTATTTATTTATTTTTTTGTGGTTTTTTACTGTCCTTTTACATTTTTATTCTTCTAACTTTTATATATTTGTTTATTTATTCTTTTATTTGATCTATTTGTGTTTTTATTTAACTTGTCCTTTTACAATTTTACCTTTTGACCTTAATACATATATGTTTAATTGATTCATTTTTGTTTTTTACGTCCGTTTACAATTTTGTCTTTTAACTTTTGACATTTGTTCTTTTATTCTTCGACATTAAATTAGTTTTAAATTTTAACTATTGACGCAGGAGAACCGCAGGAAAAGAACAAAGTTGCAATAGCAACAGAGTTGGAGCGCCGCTCTCGAAGGCTAAAGTCTTACGACAGTTCCAAGAGTGGGTAAAGGGCTTCAAAAGAAGGGTTACGGGTTTTAGTGGGTCGGGGCTGGCAGTAGGTCGCCAGCTTGTTAAACAATTATCATTTTATTTATTTTGTTTTATTTATTTTTTATACCAACCCCACATAACTTTGGAGTGCGGAATCCAAGGTATTTGTTGGGAGATTTCCCAAAATTCCCTATGCAAAAAAAAGGTTAGCTTACAACTTAATAATCCAAACTTCATTAGACTGTCAAAACTTTTGAAACCTTACAACATACACACTATTCCATTTGTTGACAAAACTCTAAGGGGAGTTGAAAATTTAGGGAAAGATCCAACTGAAAATGGAAAGAAACTAACATCGTTTACAAATTTAACTACAAAGATTGCACCGCAACCTACGTAGGTGAATCCAAAAGTACTTTAAAGACACGAATTAATGAACACAAAGACAAAAAAATACAAATACTGTAATCGGTCTGCATTAGTCAAGATTCAACCACGAGTTCGATTGGGATAATACTCTTATCCTCGATCGCAAAACTAATTATAATAAACGTCGTTTTTCAGAAATGGTACATATAAAAACTAATAACCATACTCTTAATAAAAAAGAAGATATTGTCTACTTGAATAAAATTTATTTTTCTTTAATACGAAAATTAGACTTGTAATTGAATTTTGCTTGAGGCATGTCAAAAACCACATGTTGTTTACATCTCAGGTCATTGACTCCCTTTTCACATCTAAATGCTTCGATTTCAACGATCAGAGCTTAGTCTTGACGAAATACTCTTAACGAATTGACGTGTCAGTCATTACTGTGCAAATAACTATGTAACGCGTTTTTAACAAAAATTAGGTTTTGCTACGGTTTTTTTAAAGAGTGTTAACATTTATTATTTAGAACCAGTCTGATGATGATGACGAATTAAAGTCATCAAAACGTCGCTTTTTACCTTTGACAATACATAAATTTTAAAGAATGACATAAAAATTGTTCTTCATGTTATTCATTATACCTTCCATGGATCGAATTTTAATATAAACCAAAAATAATGAATTCACAGTTTAATAACATATGAAAATAAGTTAGATAGTAAAAGTCTAATTATAAGTATTTAAGAACTTTGTAAAATAAAATCTATTTTAAAAAGTACAATAGTCTTTAATTAATCCAAATAATTACCTAATTCCATATTATTTCTAATCAAATTAATTTTACGTTACATTTTATTTACAAAATTTTAAGAATTCTTAAAATTGACATACTTATATTCATTTTTAAATAAAGACGAAAATACTTTGGTTTAAATGTAATAAATAGAATTATTGTTACAGATCTAATAATATAGTTTAACAAAATTAAAATACATAGCCACAGGTTATGTAATGTAAAATGTTTTTGAATATGAATACTTGAGAGCATATTTATTACCTTCGGTTCAAGAAAATATGTTTATAGTATTGCCAAGCCGCTATAAATTTCACCTTTTGTCAGCAAATAGAAATTCTACCAATGGCAGTATATTAAACAAATTATATTTTCACGGAGCAATGAGATTAAACTAATAAAATATATTACTAAAACATATAAAATTTATATTTATGAACACATTAGTATTAGATGTTACCGCAATGTTAGAAAAAAATGTAATTTATAAAAATGTTTGTAGCTTAAAATAATTTATTATTACAACTGGTCAATTAAAAAAGTTTTATTTCTGGAATTATATTTGTGTCTCTTTAATGCACTAATTGTATTTTGCTTTACGATTCACATTTGAGATTGAAACACTTCTTAAACTACAAATATTGTATTCAGAAGTTATTATGGTATATTAAATTTGAAAATGGTCAACTCAGCACATTAAAAATATATTCTCGATTGTAGACCATAAATAAACTTAGAAGTTATGGTCATTAGAAGTTGGCGTTTCAATAAAACCTGGCAGTTGCTTTGAGCCTCTTGTACTAAGAGTTCCTTCAGTTTTTTTAATTCTTCATGGGGGCCTGATATCGTTGATTAATTAGCAAGTTAATTAAATTCTGTGTTGTATCTTTAGAAATAAAACTACATCAAACAGACCACTGTTAAACATCATGAAAAGTAATGTTTTGCACATTAACATTTTTTCAATTAAAACTCGCCCTGTCCATTAGGAGATAATCTAGAACATCTTTTTACATTTGTCTATCTTGTCACCTTTCATTTAAAGATCATTTTGCACCCCCAAATGCTAAATACAAATTGATCTAGGAAAACTGCCTGACATGAGTTTTGCCTTTTGTCCTACCTTTCCGAAATTAGTTGATTTTTTGCGTGAGATATAAAAGTTTAAATTTGTTGAACAACGTTGTATCTTTTCATAAATAATACATCTTAATTTAGAATAAATTTACAATTTAAAAAAATAGAAAAAAGAAGATTAATACAGGTGCAATAAATTTGTGATAAAATATCACAGAAGCATAAGTACAAATTTGTACAAAGTTTATTGAACTTTAAAATCTTGAATATTAATAGGAAATATTCTTCTTTATACTCAGAAAAGGTTTTCTACAGTTTCCCTCTCCACTGGCGTGAAAACCCATTAGACGGGTGGTCCAGGCAAATGCGAGTACGTACTCCTAATTTCAAGACGTTCTGTAGACGCAAAAATTTAGTATAAGTATAGTATGTAAGAAAAATTCCACGGGGACACTTGTAACGCTAGAATTAAGGCAAAAGACGAGTGTATAAATAAATAAATAGTCTAGGGGTTTAATTTTATTTTAATTGGATAAACCATCAGTAGTGAGATCTTTTAATATTTTTCTTGTAGCTGCAGGATTTTCAACAGTAATCTGAAAAAAGTAAACAATCTTTATATAGAAAAAATATCTTTTTTTAGGTAATAAAATAAATTATTACCACATGTCCTGCCCTTTCCACCCAGTACATCCTTAAGTTTCCATATGCCTTCACGTAACCTTCAAGAGAATTATTTATAATTAATGGTTCTTTTCTAGCTGCTATCCACTCAGATGAATTTTTCCATTTAAGATTTTCGACCCAATGTAGAGTACCTATATGTATTAAAATAAAATTTTGAATTTTATTTTAGATAAAATCCTATGATCAAAATTTTACACCCAAGGAATTGTAAATATACGTAATGAAAATCAATTGATACTTTACCTATTGGATTGATTATTAAATCCAATTGTCCGTTCAAAACATAAACTTTGAAATTAGGTTGATTTACAAGATATTCAACTGTAAAACATAATTGAGCATTATTTTTAGAATTTTAGAATAATATAGATTTAACAATTAAAAATTCGTAAAGAAGAGTGGGTCAAACTCGGGTGCCAGAAAGGTATCTCGAGTTTAAACTGAAAAGTTCTGCAAGCACATTAACTTTGATAAATTTTAAACTTTTTTTATTTAAAGTTATATAACTTTATTAGAAACTTCTTTAAAATATCTATAAATTTTTGTATGTTACCTTCCTTTGTAACAGGTATCATAGTTTGTTCTTTTATATAATCATCTGTTTGATAGATAAATGATTCAAATAAACTGAATTCTGGTAAATTCAGTGCTAATCTCACTTCATCTTCCATTAAAGAGTTAATTGCGATATCATCTAAAAAGAAGTTAATTATGTTTAATAATTATTAAATTTTGTACAGTATCAGTACTGAAATTTAAATTGTTATTTATAAAAAAATCAAAAATTTCAAAAGACAACATAAGATTTTCTTTAAAATATTCGTGTTAATTTTTGAAATAACTTTTTTATAAGTAACATTACCATCATTATATGGAGTAATATTGCTTGTATTGACTTGAGTTAAAATGTTGTAAAAATATATATTTTTTACAGTATGTATAATAGCTTCATAGGTTTGTTGCGTATGAACTGATGCACATTTCCAGTCCTTCATATGAGAACACAAAAATGATTGAAAGGCAAAATCTGTTATAACTTTATAACCACGAGCATTAATTAATCCCTGAAAGGATTAAGTTCTTTAGTGAAATAAATAATTTTATTTGAAATTGAAAATCAATGGCTATTAATCAGCTTTTTAAAAAACTGTTATTCCTATAATTTATTCATTGAGTATAAATAAAAAATTTTAAGTTTAAAACAACCTTTTCATATAAATATGGCGCCATTGATAATACAGAATGATCTGGTGCAATCCATGGGCTTGAAAGTTCTACGCCCTTTAAATTTGTAATATTCCAACCGTTTTGTATTTTCTGTAAATTTTTTAAAGTAACAAAATCCGTTAGCGATTTATTTTTACTTTTTGATTATTAATTATGACCCGCTTATTTATGGATACGAAGTGAGCATAGGGGCATGGGATTTTTGAAAAATGTCTTTAGGTCTTACTTAATTAGGACGTTTATGTTTTTTAAAATAACTTCCTAAAGACACTAAGTTTTAAAAAAAGTCTGTGAGGGTTATTTATTTATATCTATAAAATATCAATCTTCTTACTTGAAGCCATTCATATGCAAAAAGAACAGCTATCTTTCCTCCATAACTCTGTCCAACAATGTATGTTGGTACATTAGATAAATTAGGAAAGTCGTTGAAAAATTTTTCAATTAAAGTAAGAAGGTCCATTGCAACCTGCTTGTCCGTTTTCGGAATTCCTTCATTGGAATCTACATAACTAAAGCCAGTCCCCACTGGACTATCGATAAAAAGGATGTTGTAGTCTTTAACCTATTACAATAATAATTGAGTATTTCAAACTTGAAATATAAATTTCTGAATTCATAATATCTAAGAATTTACCATTTCACAAACATTATATTTTTAAAATTATTTCTCACCAATGAATTGGATCTACTTGTTAGATTCAAATAGAAAGGTCCAATTTCTTTAAAGTTTGTATAACCTGTTGATGATACTCCAGGACCACCCTCTAACCAAATAATTAAGGGCTTTTCGGTATATGACGAAACATTAGCAGTGGTGTAATGAAGCCAATAAAAAATATTTGCGCTTGGCCTAACTGTCACAAATCCCCATTCTTGTTCACCTCGAAAACCATATTTACCTAATTAAAAATTAGAAATTATTTATTTTGTGTTACTTTTTACGCATTTAATGCTTACTTACCATGACATATTTGACAAAATCCTAGAAATAGAAATAAAATAGTATTTCTAACAGACATTATGACAATATTAAAATGCCTGTCTCTCAAAATTTGTCAATAAAAAACTGACTACATTTTTTAGAAAGCATTGTCATTTATATATTTAAAATCCTTATTTGAGTACTTTTTAATACATAAACATATTTCTTCATTTATTCAATTGTTCATTATATTCCAATAACCGTATCACTATTTAACTTCATGACATTTTGTAATGACAAAATAGAATTTCTTATCTTCAGCATACAAATTTTGGTTAAATATTTAATTCGATAAACGTTACTCAAACAATTACTAATATTTCTATAATTGGAATAATTTATTCTTTGTTCAACCTTGAGGGCATTGGAACAAATGACAATTTCCAACTACATCCATCCGAAGTATCTAATGCCATGAAATCCTTAAATACAAAAAATACGTCTGGCATAGATGATATTCCAAGTTTTTTTCTTAGGTCATGTTCTACCATATTACATGAACCACTATGTTATCTTTACAACAAAATGTTATCCACTGGTGAGTTTCCCCATGCTTGGAAATTCACTAAAATCGTACCAGTTTTCAAATCAGGTGACAAATCACTCATAAAAAATTATAGACCAATCTCAATAATAACAAACTTTGCGAAGATCTTTGAGAAGTCTATTATTAACCACATAGCTTTTCCTTTTAGTTCCATAGTTGCTCACCAACAGCATGGCTGCATTGATAGAAGATCTACTATTTCTAACTTGCTTAGCATAACTCAACATATTAATGAGGCCATTGCTGGAGGAGATCAGATGGATGTTATTTAAATACTGATTTCTCAAAGGCTTTCGACAGTGTTGACCATTCTTAGAATCTAGATGCATGGGAAAATTAATTTCTGTGTTTAATAAAATAAATAGTTTATTATGTACAATAAATGAAATTAATAAAATACTTTATAAATACAGTATATTAAAATTGAAAGCTATTTTAATTAACAAAATTAATCGCTAGTAAGATCTTTTAATATTTTCCTTGTAGCTACAGGATTATCAACTGCAATCTGTAATAAATAAAAAAATGCAGGTAATTATTACACTGGGTTACAAAAAAATGGTCATGTCGTGTTTATTTAAAATTTACTGTGTTTATTGAAAGTTTAGGTGTCACAGAATAAGAATATACCAGAAAAACTTTTTTTCATTCGGTCATTCCCTTAAAAAACGAGTTTAAAGTCTCAAAAAACCGTATTTTTAGCACTTTTTGAGGCAGCGTAACAAGAAAATGCAACATGATAAAAATCTCTACAAAAGCTTAAATAAAAGCTTAAACCTTCAACTTTAAGGCTCAGAACTGAAAAGTACTTAAAGAAGCACTGAAAACCTGCAGTCACTATCTGAAATTATCAAAAAAGCTGGGTTAGGTAGCACTTGGTAAAAATCGATTTCCCTAACCGGATTCGGTTGCAAATTGTTATTTTAGGTTTTTTGAGGTTTCTAATGACGAATTGGAACTTAGATTTAAAAAATTTCAAAGTGGCGGACTCAATTTTTTAAAATTATCAACGCAAATTTTGAAAAATTGAGTGAATTCATTATTTTCAGTCCGCCATTTTGAAATTTTTTAAATCTAAGTTCCAATTCGTCATTAGAAACCTCAAAAAACTTCAAGTAACAAGTTGCAACCGAATCCGCTTAAGGAAATCGATTTTTACCAATTGCTTCCTGTTCTAGCTTTTTTGACAATTTCAGGTAGCGACTGCTTGATTAAGGAGGTTTTTATTGATTATTTAAGTACTTTTCAGTTCTGAGCCTCAAAGTTGAAGGTTTAAGCTTTTATTTAAGCTCTTGTAGAGATTTTTATCATGTTGCGTTTTCTTGTTACGCTGCCTCAAAAAGTGCTAAAAATACGGTTTTTGACACTTTAAACTCGTTTTTTTAAGGGAATGACCGAATGAAAAAATGTTTTACTGGTATATTCTTATTCAGTGACACCTAAACTTTCAATAATCACAGGAAACTTTGAATAAACACGATATGACCATTTTTTTGTAACCCAGTGTTATCACTTATTCGTTATAAACAAATAAAAATAATTTCTTCTTTGTTGTTAATAAAGTAACTATACATACCAAATGCCCTGCCCTATTGACCCAGTACATTCTCAAGTTTTCGAAAGCCTTTACGTAACCTTCGATAGATTTGTTTATAATTAATTGTTTTTTTCTAGCTTCTAACCATTTAGATGAATTTTTCCATGTCAAATTTTCAACCCAATGAAAAGTACCTAATTAAAAATTAATTAATCATTAAATCATATTAATCAATTATAAATTAATAAAAGTACCTAAAAATTCCTCTGGTATGCGGATCACTATAATTTATATTTAATGTAACTTCAAATAATATCATACCTTTAGGATTTACTAATAAATCAAGTTTTCCATTAAAGACAAATACTTTAAAATTGGGTTGAGCAAGAAGATATTCAACTGCAGAACATAATTAAAAGAAGTTAGAAATGTGTATGAATATTTTATGATTATTTGAAAACTTCTTAAACATTAAATGTTATTTTCCTAATAACGATGATATTTAATACCTTTTTTTGTTACAGGTTTCATGGTTTGTTCATATAGATATTCATCATTTGGCTTTGTATCTATATGAAAATTACTAGTTTCTGGTAATTTTAAAGCAGATTTTACTATTGTGTTCATCAAATGCTGAACTTTGGGTTCATCTGAAAATGAAGTTAATTGAAAATTAATATACACTTATTTTACTGTTATTTAATTTTAAAAATCACATGGCAATTTAGAAATATTAAAAAAAATGTTAATTTTATATTCGGTTAGGAAGAAATTTTGAAATCAATTTATATTATAACTTATAAGTGACATTACCTTCATCATATGGACTGTAATTTTCGTGATCGACTTCAGAAAAGATATTATAGAAGTTTAAATTTTTTTTACAATTTTGAATTTCAGCCAAGGTTTTAAGCATATTTAATGCTGCAGCTCTCCAATCTTTCATAGATGAGGATATATTTGCTTTAAAAGCACAGTCCTCTATCATTTTTGTATCATTCGCATTGATTAGCCCCTAAAGATATGGAAACTGTGTAGTGAAATTAATTTTTTTTTTCATTATTTCGTTATCAAAATTCATAATACATTTCTTTAATTCAAAACACTCTTCTATGGTAAAAATGACCTATCTCCAAAATGTTATTTGTCCCTTCCATCGTGAAGCGTCACATTTGTAAAAATATTTAAAATATCATAAACGCTTTCATTTTAATTTTTTCATTGAATATAAAAATATTGTATGTAACTTATGAAACTCAAAGATTTTGATAGAAGGAGAAATATAATATATTACATTTTCACATAAATACGGTCCCATTGATAGAACATTATGAACAGGTGAAGCCCATGCACTTGAAAGTCCTATTCCTTTGAGATTTGTAATATTCCAACCGCTTTCAATTTTCTATAAATTTGGAAAAATATAAGAATTAGTAACATTATATTCACACATTGTTGTTGCATAAACGTTTAAACTCTGTAAAATCTCATTTCTGAACAAACTAGCAGTGCTGTTTATAGAGCATGTAAGGTGTAAGCTATACAGAACCGGGGTCTAAAATTAATTTATAAATAAACATTCCTACCTTAAGCCATTCATATGCGAAGATAGGAGCTATCTTTCCTCCATAACTCTGCCCAACAATATATGTTGGTACGTTGGATAAAATAGGAAAGTTTTTGAAAAATTCTTCAGTAAAGCTAATAAGATCCTTTGCGACTTGCTCGTTCGTTTTAGGATATGCATTATCGGAATCTGCATAACTGAACCCAGTACCCACTGGACTGTCAATAAAAAGTATGTTGTAGTCTTTAATCTATAACAATAAAAATTCGAATGAAACAAAATGTCACTTTAAATTAAAATTATAATTAATTTCATCTTTAATTATAAAATCAATAATCTTGAACTTGTAAGGGTGGAACAAGTGCGGGACCTTGGTATCACTCTGACTAAAAACATTTCTTTTGACTAAATTTCTAGGCGGTTAAGAAAGAGTTTAAAAATATTATTTAATTTGTTTTTTAAAAAACTAACGTGCTATAAAGAAATTATTTAAAGTATTAACTTTTTTATGCCCCTGACTGCCTATAAACTCTTAATGAAAATTATCATTTTGAACCTTAACTTACCAATGTGTGGGGTCTACTTGTCAGATTTAAATAAAAAGGGCCAATTTCTTTAAAGTTTGTATAACCGGTTGATGACAGTCCTGGTCCACCCTCTAACCAAATAATTAATGGCTTCTCTGTAAATGATGAAACATTGGCAGTGGTGTAATGAAGCCAATAAAACATATGTGCGCCTGGTCTAACAGTCACAAAACCCCATTCTTGTTCACCTCGAAAACCATATTTAGCTAAAAAAAATAAAAAAATATTTATTATGTAGAAAGAAGTTTAACACTCTACCATACCACTTTTCTCGCATTTCACATTAACTTACCATGACTTAGTTGACAAAATCCTAGCAAACAAAGCAAAATTATACTTTTTACATACATGTTCTGAAATTTTAGTGTTACTTTTTCGTCACTGAATAACAGAAAAACATGCATAGTTTCTCAAAAGAAGTTTTATTTATGCACTTTGAAAAGTCTAATAAAGTAGTTTTCATTAAATTATAACGAAATATTTATTCAGGTGAATTCCGAATGCTTTCGTATTTCCCGCTTACGTAAAAAAACTAATATTGTTCAAAAAATTATGGCCCAATTTATTCATGATGTAAAGAAACACCTTTTTTTCCTATTTGAATCAGTTAAAAATTTGTGTGGAAAAAAAACTTGTTTTGAGAAATTTTCTGGTTTTGATAGTTTTAATAGAAAATTGTGCCAAGCTCGATATGTAAACAAGTAATTTCTTACACTAAACACAATGAAAAGAAATTAAAAAACATTTGTAGTCTTACGAAACTTCATAGAATAATCATCTTTCAATATTGTATAACTTTTTTTTGTTTCTATGTATATTTGAATAAATATTCAATGATATTTTTAAATAGGAAATTCATGGAATAATAATTTGTAACTTATTTTTCCTTTTGTTACTACATTTGTTTAGATAAATATTTATTAAAGATGTGCGATATGATGTCATGGGAACAAAATAACTTCTATTGTGTCACATGTTCACTTTTCAAATAAGTTCTCTACTATGCATATTAGCTATTTAACAAAGAATTGACGCATTAAAAATACGAACATCAATTAATTTTTCTTCCTCATGAGAAAGCTTTGCATTGGTGACGATTTTCAATTTTTCAAAAGAAGGTTATATGGACTTATTTTCATCTAGAACATATTATGTATATTCAATTATGAGCAAATGTCCAGATGTATGTGTGTGTGTGTATGTCACAAAAATTGTGTACAAATTATATCTCAGACAAATTTTGATGGATTGTCCTGAAATTTTGCAGGTTTATTGCAGTCATTAATACCTAAAATCTGACACAAGGATTTTCGAAAATATCTAGAAAATTTTTTTTTATACAATTTTTTTAAAATTCAGAAAATTTTTTTTTTTGTATTTTTTGAAATAATTTTTTTATTTGTTAATATTTTCATTAATTATTCTTAAAATTACATTCCTGACAAGAAAACGAATCGATTGATGTATACAAAGTATATATTTTATCAAAATTTATAAAATTAATAAATATTTTTCTTTTTCACAAAAAATTCAAATTTTGTATTTTTTTCATAATTTATTTAATATTAATATTTTGAAATGATTATTCTATCATAAAAAAGAAGCAATTGGCAAATGAAAGTGTAAATGTCACCAAATATTTATATAACAACTTATAAATGATTTATATAATTTTATTTTTAACAAATCTTCTGGACGAACCCTTTTGTACATAGTTTTTCAAAAGTTTGCAAAACCGCAATTTTTATATATTGAGGAAGCTAAATGTTCATGAAATGAACAACTTGTTTTAATTAATTTAAAAATACATATTTTACGGACCAAAATTATTTTCATCATTTCAATTCAATTATTATTTTTAAGAATTTTTCACTAAAATTTTTCATTAAATCAATTAATTTTCAAAATTAAGTTCTACAATTTTCAAAATCCATTTATTTACAATATTCAATTTTACAAATTTCAATTATTCGTAAATTCTTCAATTAAATATATATTAGAAAATAGAAACTTCAAATAATATAAAAAAATCAATTACACTTTTCAAAAAAATTAATATCAAAATTCAATTTTTTTTCAAAATTCGCGATGATATATTGTTTTCAATATTCAATTATTATCTAAAATATTAACTGAAATTCATTTTTAAATCAATTCTTATTAGGAAATTCGACAAGAATTCAATTATTTAAATACAAAAATAAATAATTTATTGAATAAATTAGTTTTTTAAAATTGAATCCTCATAAAGAATTTTATCAATAAATTTTTAAATAATTGAATTCTTTCGACAATTTTTAATATCATTTTTAAGAATAATTACATTTTCCGAGAAATTCGATGAAAATTATATGAAAAATAATTGAAATTCTACATTGAGTTTTATTATTTATGAAAATAATGGAATTCCTGAGAAAAATTTTACTATTGTTTTAACATAATTAAATTTCTGCGAAGGATTTTAATACTCTTGAAAACAATTGAATTCTTGAGACGAATTTTATTAAAATTTATTTTTAAATAATTGAATTCTTTTGTGAAATTTTATTGAAATCGGAGAGAAACTTTGAAATAGTAGACATTGGAAATAATTGAATTTTAACAAATTTTTGAAATTAATTAAATTTCTATGAAGAATTTTATTAAAATTATTTTGAAAAAAATTGAATTGTTACAAAGAATTTCATTAAAATTTTTGGAAGATTTTTAATTAAAACTATATTGAAAATAATACTTAAATTCTTATAAATTGTAGCAAAGGTTTTTAAAATAATTTAATTTCATTGATAAATTAAATTTGAATATAATTTTTAAGAAATAATTACTTTTTTCGAGGAATTCCATTAAAATTGTATCAAAAATAATTGAAAGTCTGCGATGAGTTTTATTATTTATGAAAATAATGAAATGTTTGCGTAGAATTTCATTAATATTTTTTTAACTAATTAAATCGTCTATAAATCCATTATTTTTTATAATTAATTAAATATATATTAAAAAATTTAACTAATTTTAGAAGAATTTTAGTTATTAAAATTAAAATTCTTTCAGAGAAGAATTTTATTATTTATGAAAATAATTAAAATTTTGACGAGAATTTAAAAAAAAATTTGAACATAATTGAATCTCTGCTAATAATTTTATTACTTTTGAAAATAATTAAATTTTGCAATCATTTGTAATTTCTCTAAAATTTTCCAAATTATATTGTACAATTTACGATTTTTTTGTTCTTTTTTAATCAATTGTATAATAATATAATGTTAAAAAAATTATTTCATGAAATTTATATTCTTTCTTATTAAAAATCACTAAAATTTAGTAGAATTCATGTTGAAATTTTATAGAATCGTTCTATAGAATATTCACTAGAATTTATATAAAATGATTCCTTAGAATGATTCTTGTAAAATTCTATAGAACTTATTTCAGCTGGGGCAATTAACAATTATAAATGTGAACAATTAGAATTTTAAACTATTTAACAAAATGCATCAATTATATTAAATTTTTTTTCAATTTTCGTTTTACTCTTAGATTTTTCAGCGATTAATCCCATCTGTGTAATTATAAAATTTTCCCTGCAGAATTTTAGTTAAAGCGTACCGTTTATAAAATTTTTGATCAGAGATGTGGTTTGATATGAAATATTCACGACAATGCCGTTAGCACCTAGCTGCATTAATAAACTTGGCAACCAGCGACACTTTGAGTATCTGTAGGGTTGAGCTGGGTCTTTATGAAGGTAGAATATTAAAGTTTCCTACACAAAATTTACGAGCCACCTCTTTATAAACAAAAGCAGAGATTTTTTTTATTATTTTAAACATAAGCTGTTATTTTTTTCATTTAACTACTGATTGCACATCCAAGAGAAGATTATAAAAAGAAGATTATTAAATTTCAATGCTCTTTAAAAAATTTAATTCCAAATGGATTAAAAACATCTATATTAGTTATAGAATAGTTTATTCAAAAATGTAACATTTTTAGTATTTCTTTCAAATAATTGTTATTTTTTAAGTAATTTTATGTAAAAATAAAAAAAATAAAAAATTGGCAGCGGTGGGATTCGAACCCACGCCTCCGAAGAGACTGGTGCCTTAAACCAGCGCCTTAGACCGCTCGGCCACGCTACCGCTGTTTACTAATTAGACATTCTTTCAACGTCGAGATAAAACAAAGATTACAAAAAGAAGTACGGCACATGTGACGATAGTGGTGAAAAAAATTATTGGCACTTTGTTTATTTAGTACTTATTTACTGATACTTTGTGTCGCAATATCGACATGCGTATTTTATATATTGTAAATAGTGAATAGCACTTGTTTGAGAATATGAGAGATAAGTCTTGAAGATTTCGATAATCTGAAATTTATTACTTCTTTTTTTGTATTTCTATATTGGACAAAATAAAAAAAAACTATATCAATGTCTTAAAATGATTTAGCAGCATACTTTACGAAATAAGGTGTCGATTATGGAAATTTCAACTTACTTTCATTTTTACTACCACGAAAATCAATTTTTTCATTGGAAACATAATTTCATTTTAATAAAAATTAATTTCTTTTAATAAAAAACAATTTCATTTTTACATTAACTAAATAATTAGTTTTAGTGAAAGTGAAATGATTAATTACAATATACGGAAAAAACTTTTAAAGTAACTTTTACATCTTTCCTAGTAAAACGTATAATGTAAAAGATGAATTAATATTAATTTAATTAATTAATTATGATTACTATTAATTTATAAATTATTTACGAAGTTGAAAACAAGTATTAAATATTAAAATTTACTTCGGATGTTATAAAATTTACTCAGGAAATAACAATTTTAATGGAAAATTTTACTTTTCTTGCATAGTTAATTTTTCCATGCAAATTTTTACAATTTTCTTTCAGTGTAATACAATTAGTTATTAAAATTTATTATTTACAGATTAAATTTCACTACTTCTTAGGTGAATTTTTTCAATTTTTATAGTAAAATTTTTTTTTGAAAATATTAAAAGTTATTCGAGAAATATAAACTTTTTGATAGTAAATACTTATTTTTGAAGTAATTTTACAAAGTCCGAAATAAAATTTAGTAATTTTTTACTAAAATTTACTTATTCGTATATAGAAAAATTAATAAAATTAAAAAAAAATATCTACAATAATTTGTTACTTAATTATGAGAATTCTCTTTTTTTTAATATGAATCCCATTTTAAAAAATTAAATTCCTTTTTTCCTAACATTACTTAAAAAAGTTAATGTAAACCCTCAAGTAGTAAAAGTTACTCTATATTTATTATTGTGTATAGAAACGTATTTCATTTCCATAAAAATTAATATTTTTCATTCGAGACATATTTTTATTATTAAACATAACATAACATTTATTAATTTTTATTATTAATTTATTATTTCCACTAAAAATGTAATTTTATGTTCACTTTCACCAAAGATGAATTTTTTTACTAGAAATGTAGTTTCGCTTTCATAATAATTAATATTTTTTTCTCTAAAATGTAATTTTTTTACATTCAACAAAATTAATTTTTTTTTATTGGAAACGTAATTTAATTTTTGCTAAAATTAATATTTTTACTAGAAGCATAATTTCATTTACTATAAAATTAATTTTTTTCCTAGAAGCACAATTATTCTATTTTCATATTCACCAAAACTAATTTTTGTAGTACAAGCATACTTTTATTTTCCACCAAAATTAATTTTCATTTCATTAAAATAGCTGTTTTACTAATACAAAAATTAATTATTTTCACTAAGAAAGTGATTTCATTTTCAGAAAAATTATTTTCTTACTAGAAAGTAAACTTTATTTTCGGAAAAATTTATTATATATCACTTGAAACAAAGTTTTCTTTTCACCAAAATTAATATTGTCACTGGAAACATAATTTTATTTTTAGATAAATAAATGTTTTTGAAATGTTGTTTGAAAGTTACACTTTCACTTTCCTAAAACTATGTTTTGGAACTAAGGACATAGTTTTGTCTTCTCAAAAATTAAGTCACTTCTCACTTGGTTTCATCTGCACTTCACCATGATTAATATGTGTTAACAATTTTTAATTTGTTGAAAAGAATGAATGAAAAAAATGCTTCTTGTGTGATAATTAATTTTAGTGATAAATGGAACTGCAGGTGATACAAAAAATGTAATTTTGTGAAAGCGAAATTACATAATCGACCTCCTGGTAAGCTCAATGAAACTTTTAACAACAAATATATTCTATATTATGAATTTTGTTTATATTCAAAGTAAATATTAAATCAAATCGCGAATATAAATTTCAGAAAGGTAATAAATATTTTATGATTTAGCACTTTAGTATAATGTTGTACGTGAAACCTGTGTCTTCTTGAAAAACTGGTAGGTATTTCACAAAAGCGTTTAGAACAATGATGCTTGGTATGATGGTATAACTCATAAATAAATATTTCGTAATAAAAGAAACCTGTTTTGAACTTCTCGTTCATCAGGTTTACTTGAGTAAGTCTTTAATTAAAAATTTGTCATGAACGTAAACACAATTACTTGAATGTTCGTTCTTTTGAAAAAAGGTTGCTTAACGCTCTCGCAAGCAATACAACGAATTTGCTGTACGGATTTCCTGTATGTCTAACAAAGGATTTAGGGGTAGGTCGATCGCTTCAGTTGAGTCACAAAGCATGTGTGCAATCTGACACCGATCACTGCTAGTTTAACATCCCTTGCTCTTTGCGAACAACGAGACGCATCTATATGTGTACAGGTCAAACATAGCACGTGTACAGATGTGTTGGCATGTGTCTGATGTTTACCCTAGGAAACCCAGCAGGATCCTTCATGCCATCGAGAACTGACCATACCAAACATGCATGTCCACCTAAGTATTCCTGTTCAACATCATCGTAACTTGATTTCAATCAATTTATGCAGTTTCATCAATGATATTCTGCTTTTAAAAATAGCGAGACGGATCGCGCGCTTCATAGCGCGTGTTTACTTCGTATTTTATTTAAACAAGAAAACTTACCTTTTAACACTAAAATAATTATCACACAATATGTAAAAGCACTTTGAGCGTATAATTCGCTTTTTCTATTATAATTCTTTACAAGAATAATTATTTCTTCCCAAGATCACGAAGAAGAAAAATCCCACTCGACAGCACTGCTTTCCTGATGAAGAAAGTGGTTACTTGCAGTCAGAGTGATTTCGAGATATTTAAGGAGACGCGTTCCTAACGAGCTGTACTAACATTTAAAACTTTTTTTTAATATTTACCATATTTACAATTGTCGCATACTGTTAAAATTAATTTTTTTTAAATAATTATAATAAACAGTTATTATACTCCAATTTCTATTTACTTCCTAAATTTTTTACAATCTGGTATCAGAATATGGAGATTTCACCAAGTTATTCTATGCACATTTCTAACATCCAACGAAGATTTTATTGCGTGATATCGATTTCACTCTTTGCAACTTTTGCTGTGACGATTCTCATCTCAGGATCAACACCTTTTATATCTTTTGACAAACACCCATTCTGTATGCCACAAAATCGATGGAAAGGAATTTAATAGTTGAATTTATTATATAATGGACCCTAGATAATCGATATATAAAATTATAGTAAAATATGTTAACTTAAGTAAGTTAATTATAAAATTTATTTTCATAAATATTATTTATATTACAATTTGTACATCACATAATTGATTAAAATTCCAGATACTTGAAATTGCCTCATTTGATAATAAATGCTTAACACTAGAAATAATGAGGCTTTTAATTTATATAGTGTCTCAAGTATTTTCGTTTCATATTTGAAAGAATTATTCAGCTTCTTATCATCTCTGGACTAGGTAGGTAATAGTAACGAGGTTCTTGACGTCAAGTTAAGGATCATTTGAACATCCTTGAGTTCGGTCCAGAGAGTTTATATACAGCATCCCTTAACAGAGGTTTTCGACCCTCATCGTGAGTCAATGCTTGTTGTAGGACGCCTCAACGAATTCCAATGCAGGTCGAGACACGTTGCTCTCATTCTCCTATTCCCTGCTGCTATCTTTCTTCCATTTTCTCTGTTTTTCCATCTTTGAAAAAGAGTAATGTACCGAAATCACTGTGTACTCCAGAATCTATACATATATCCTTCCACAAATCACGCCTCAGTGGAAGTAAGATATATATAGAAAAATTATAGACGACTGGATTTCATGAAATTGCAAAAATGGTGTAGATGAGTTTTTTTTTAAATTAAAACCAGATAATATAGCTTTTCAAAATTTTCATCAATTTTTTATTTACTATCTTTCATTAATTTTTAATTTGTTTCTATTTCAACTGATTGATCACTAAAAAAAATTTCTCTGTAGTTATGATATTCTTGTATTTCTAGAGCAAAAGTGTATAAAAAATTTAAGGAATTCAAAAATTCATGGTGTTGTTGACGTATACTGTGAAAATCGACGTCATGCGCCAGATACTAGAATGCACTTGGAGTACATAAATTAATGTTATACACTTTCAATTGAATTTCGCGATTTTGTGACACTTTTCCCCTTCACCCTTTAAAGATCATCATCTTACTGCAATAGAAGAAAAATTTTCAAGTTATGTACTTTTGAAGAATGTATGTAGAATATTTTTTTTCCTAACACGATCTCGAAATTAGATAAAAGTTGAAGTTGAAAATTTAATTTGACTGTTGTATTACAATTTTGTTACAATTTTTTTATGCTACACAATCTTTCCTTTTTTTAAAACGATTTCACAATAGGATACGTACCCACAAAAGCATATTCATATGAACTTTAATATTCAAATTAGGTCAAAAGTCATAGTTCCAGATGCAGACGTAAACGAAAAATTAGGTCACATGCCAAACGACTAACACAATCTCTAATCTCTAAATTAGGCAAATATAACTTTGAAATTATGTCAAACATCATCTCCTCATTTCCCTTTAAAAATGTAGATGAAACCTCCGAAGCAAAACTTTAGGTCATTTAACCTTTTATAGTACAATTTTTTTTCTATTAAAAAATTTATGAAATTTTCGTACCTTTGGGTCAGCGGTGTCACTAATTACGAATCTGATGTGAGGATTTCAAAATTCAAAATGTCGGATCAAATACGGCGGAACGAAAAATTTAAAATTTGATGGATCTTTATGAAATTTGGTATCTAGGGGTTGTCGGGATCGCTAATTACGAATCTAATGTCAGATTTTTAAAATTTGAATTTAAATTTTTAAATTTCGGATCTCCATATTTGCTCCGCCACGCCAGTTTAAATTTAAAAATCTGACATCAGATTCGTAATTAAAGATCCCGAAAATCCTTAGATACCAAGTTTCATGATAATCCATCAAATTTTAAAGTTACTGTCAGCCATTTTGGATTTTTAAAATTTGACATCAGATTCATAGTCAACGACCTTGAAAACCGCTGGATACCAAATTTTATAAAATCCATCAAATTTAAATTTTTCGAACCGCCATATTGGATCAGCCATTTTGAATGTTCATAATTTGACATCTGACTCGTAATTTTTATACTGAAAGTAATAAAAAAAGTAACAAACAGATTCAAAAAGTAGATTTACTATTTCACCAAAATCATTAACCGGTGGTTGTTGGTGAAGCTGATTACGAATCTGATTTCAGTTTTTTAAAATCTAAAATACCGGATTCAGGATGACGGACCAAAAGTGAAAAAATAGATTTAATCTCCCCAAAATTATTACTTAGAGGTTGTTTTTTAAAATACAAAATGGCGAATCTAAGATGTCGGACTTAAAGTTAAAAAATATATTTAGTCTAACCAAAATTTGTACACGGGAGTTTTCTGGGTTGCTGATTACGTATCTGATATCAGTTTTTAAAAATACAAAATGACGGATTCAAGATGGCGGACCAAAAGTGGATTTAATCTCGCTAAAATCATTACTCTGGTAATTTGTTTATTACTTTGTTTATAACAATTTGGTAGGTAAAGCTTTCCTATTAGATACTTATAATAACATGCCATCACTTTTTCAATCATATCTCGGAAATAAATGGAGGTACAAAAAAAAACTTAAATACGGTTAGAAAGCTGATTAAATTCTGCGTAAAATAAGCCGTCTTTGAAGTCATTTCGTTAATTATTTTTTAAGTTGTAGAGTGAGAAAGATATTTTTTTTTTTATATTTTTTACTCGAAACAAATAAATAAGGATTTTTTTTACGGCGAAAGAATATTGATTCGAAAGGCAAATGAAAAATCTCTCAGAGTTTAACTTTAACTGACTAGGTGACGTAGACTTCTGGTGAAGAGTAGTTGATAATGTGGTGGCGTATTTCAGATTGAAAATTCTTCCTAGGGTGGATTCTTTTATGCAGAGCATACCTGTGAGGATGTAATAACACTTTGATTTTACGTGTGTGTATATGAGTTATCGATTGTTTTACCTCTTGAACAACACGAAAATTATCCAGCAGAATTTGAAAGTTTTGAAACAAACAGGAATTTTTATTACATCAAAACCATTCACTATTTTATTGACACGATTCCCTATCAACTTGAGAATATGACAGCTATCAAATTGATATGCAGATACTATGAAGTGAACAGGCTCATCGTAAAAATACTCGATATGCTATAAACTGGTTAAATTTTTTTTCTCGTTTTCATGTTGATTTCACAGTAACAATATTAGATATTGTAAACGCATGTATAGTGCAGGGTGCTAAGATTTATTTCTTTCTGACTTGAAAATATTTTCGCATTTTTTTACGTTTCCATTTCCCTTTCGTTTCTGTATTTCATGTATATGGTGGACAGGGGTTCATAAGCTGCTTATCACAATACTATCTGATAAGCCTTTGGCTAGTTATAGAAGAAGGAAATAGAGAGTAAAAAGAGGTGACGAAAAGGAGAAATTCTCAAATGTTTCTTGTGTTGGTTTAAGCGCAAGTGTACGTATATGAGAGCGCAAGTACTATAGAAAGGATTTAGCAAAGTCCGACCATAAAGAGTAAATTACGATGCTGGTCTCGCTTCACAGCCAACTATGCTTTGCCCAACGGACATGGAAATTGTATATGCGTCGCGCTTTCGGCTTTAGAAATGCCAAATAAACTGGGATATAGCTACATATATACACATACATATATATATTTCACTAAAAACGAAATAAACACAAAGGCGTGAGACTCGGTATATTTGCATACCAGTGTATGCAATGAAGGAATGTATAAACTATTTTAGCTACTAACTTTGGACAGTATCTCGAGTTTACAATGGCAGGTTTTTAAAAAAATTT